CACTCCCTCCCCAAAATACCAGCAGTGAGAAAACACTCACTCATGGGGCATCCCAAGGAGCGGGGCTGTGTCACCAGCCAGATGGCCACGCAGCAGCTCAAACTTTTTATGCTGGTGGTCGGCCAGCTGGTGAAAGGAAAGGGCTCAGCCAGCTACCGAGCCACCTCCGTCCATCTCCCAAACAAGCCACTAGTGCATCTGCTGCCGTCTGTAAATACTGTGCCTTGGATGAATCCACAGAAGACACGAGCAGTGACACGTCCTGTCCATCCTGACCTAAAGAGATGCTTAAAATGTTCTCAGCTACCAGTGGAAACCACCAGCCTCATAAAAGAAGGTTTGGCACTGAAACAGCTCTCCAAATTCCACTTTTGCAAATGTATATGCACGTCCAGAACATGCACACACGTAACTGCAGGTTGTTCCTCACTGCCAAGGAAGCGTTTATTAAAATCCTGCATTTATTACACACCCTACAGCTCCGTAAAGGGGATCAGAAGCCACTAACAACAGGCATCGTTGGACTTCCCATGCTAAAAATGTACTTTCTTAAGGGAGGATCGCCTAGAGGGTGAACTACTTGCTGTGGCCTCCCTGGAGAGAAGAAAGAGATATTTCATTCAGCTTGTTCGAAGTAGGTGCCGGCATCATTCAGACGAACCATGCCCTCATCACTCAGACAAAACATGCCCTCAACAGTCTATTTTTCCCTAGCTGCTACAAAGACAGCTTAGGGCGATTAGTTCAGTAGATGTTTATGCTGTTCTGTGGAGTTAGGCAAGAATAATCCCCTACAGTCTGTCACGGTCCAGGCACTGTTCTCACTACATGAGATGAACACAGAAGTAAAAAAGCAAAGCTCTGCTCCTGAACATTTCAGCTGAGGTTAAAGTATGGGGTCTAAAGATAGCATACCCAGGAATGACCTGGGTGGAGTAGGACAGGATCACAAGCAGTGCTGGTTTCCAACCTATTGCTCAGGAACAGGTTGATACCGAGCTTTGCTCAGGGCCATGGGAAGCTAAAGAGCTAACACAGAGGTCAGCGTTGGAAACACCGTTCAATGTCTCCCCACCAGTGTGTTACTTTGCCAGTGATACCACCAAAGGACCAGGAAAATCAGCAACCTGCCGCTCTGCATTCATATACATACATATATATTCGCAAATGACACGGGAATGCCTCTGCCCACTTAGAAAACAAGCCCTGGAGAGCAAATAAACCCCTTACCCGGTTGTCCTCTTGAATCTCCCAGTCACTGGAGAAGCTCAAGACATGCTGTGCCTGCGAGCAGTTAGAGAACTGGAAAAGGCTGGCAAACATCCTTCTGTTCTCCTGGGTGTCCGGGAAAATCGCCTCCTGGAAGTTGACTCCGTGAGGCAGGAGGATGTAGTTCTCATCCATCCTGAAAGACAAATGGCACGGGCAGCCCACTGTGAGGCTGAACAGCACCTTCTCTCCCACAGAAATCACCCGTCGTACTTCAGCCTGGCTCAACAAGTGCCACCGAAGTCACACAGACAGACTTTTAGCTGGCATGTGGCGCTCAGCTCTCATGGCGCTCAGTTGCCAAGATGGCAATTTCCAGCATGGAGGACTGGACCAGGCAGCAGCAGTAAGGACCTAACAAGCTCCTACCACCCTGCAGACACCAGTGAATGCCCGTGAATGAGGGAAATCTATGTTTTGGTCCATGGTTCTTACTGAATTTGCATCACTTTGCCCTTAGTCCTGGAGTTTAAGTACTCCTTCAAGCAGCCAATAAATAACATGTAAAACGCGTTTAAAGATATTGGCACAGATTGAGCTCTAGACAGCATCGAACTGCGTTTTGCTATGCACCCAGTGTAAGAATATACCACGTATTTCAAAACAAGCCCCTGAGTAGTATTTCGCAAACGCTCTTGGATTGAAAGGTCACGGCGATGGCTCCGTTCCCACATTGTGGTTTATTTTCTTATTTTTTCGATGAGCCTAAAGTCAGGATTTGGCAGGCACTTGGCAGAGCCGAGAGAAAGCTACCAGGTGAGTACTTGGGGATGGGTTTGGAACTCTCACGCCGAAGTTCGGCGAACAGGCGCTGGCCTCTCTCCAGCGCCGTGACCGTCCCGCCGTGAAAACGACCGCAGCAGCTCCCCGGGAGCCACCCGAGAGCAGCTCCCTGTCCCTCTGCCCCCCGGCGATGCCGCAGCATTGGGGTTAGGGTTGGGTTGGGGTTTTTTTTATCCCGATGAAACAGGGCGCGCAAAGGGGGGGAGCGGCAGCGGGACGGAGCGAAGCCTCCCGGGCTGGGGCGGGCGCGCATCCCCCCGGCGGCGGAGATGCCCCGGAGCCGGGATGCCGACCCCCGCCGCGGGATTTCCCCCCTCATCCCGGGACTCACCGGAGGAAGAAGAAATAAGCGTATCCCTGCATGACGGTGTGCGAGTGGCAGGAGAAGTACCCGAGGCCGGTGAGGTTGAGGCGGGAGCCGGCGGGCACCTCCAGCATGCTGCCCCACGCCTGGTCGCACAGCAGCTCGATCTCGGCCGAATAAAAGAGCCCCCCAGCTCCTTGCTGGGGGCCGGCGGGGGG